AGGACAAAGGCGCGGGGCTTCACAGGGAGCCCTCCCTCTGCCCACCCCTCACACCCCCCAGCGCACGCTCCTTGCCCCGGTGCTAAGTATAGATCTATAAGGAGAGATTTCAAAGGCAGCCATCACTCTCCAAATAGACGGGTTAATATTTTCAGAAGAAGCCCCTGCTATTCCCCGCCCCCCCCCTTGAAGCATGCCATTCCTGTGACCCAAGCCACCCGGGCCAGCCCAAGGTTAGGAGCCAAGCTTACTGTTCCTCCACACACAGCGGTAAGGCTATCAAGGCAGAGCCTTGCTGTGGTGCTGAAGCACCCACAGTTATTGCACCTCGGCTTAGTCTTTTAATCTGAACTTTCCCACGTTGCCTGTGAGGTGACAGGAGTGATTCCAGGTGACTGGGTTACAGTCTGATGGGGCTCTCCGGACAGCCCCTGTCCTTGATGTTGTTTAGGGCAAGCAAGCCCAGGCATCTGGTGTAACTGCAGTTTAATCCCTCAGGCCTGGCAAGATATATAGAGCTTCCTAGCCCCTGAGACAGAAATGGAGCTTGTGATCACTGTTAGCCTATACTGTAATGTCACATCATGTCTAGGTATCTCTTACACCAAGAAAGAGAAGGTATGGGAAAATGGCCTGTTTGCCTCTTTCCCCGGACTGCCTTGTGTCCCTTAAATCCCATGTAATCTCTCTCTGCTTATGTAAAAATATATATGTGTGTATATGCATATATATGTTTCCATATCTACAGACACACACACATATGTATGTATATTTATGTGGATAAGTAAGTATATTTCTGTGTGTATACATATGTGTGTATACATGTGTACACAACTGTGTGTATACAAGAGAAGGTATGGGAAAATGGCCTGTTTGCCTCTTTCCCCGGACTGCCTTGTGTCCCTTAAATCCCATGTAATCTCTCTCTGCTTATGTAAAAATATATATGTGTGTATATGCATATATATGTTTCCATATCTACAGACACACACACATATGTATGTATATTTATGTGGATAAGTAAGTATATTTCTGTGTGTATACATATGTGTGTATACATGTGTACACAACTGTACGTGTGTATACATGTGTATATACACATATGTGTATGCTTTTTCATAGAAACCCACAATAATATACGAAGCGTGGATGAAGCCCCTGGAATACCACAAGATCTCTCAAACGTAGCTTCTAACTTCATTCTTTCTGAAGGGAACCATGGCATTTTTGCTCATTTCTTAAAAGCGACAATGAAATTGATCATTGACGTGACTGTTTTTCCAAAACAAGATTTTGACCAAATCAAGTGTTGTTGGAATGGATCTAATTTCTGCTTTAATGAGGCAGAACAGTATCCAGTTTTGGATGAGACAGAGAAATTCAGACTGTTCTCAGCGAAACAAATTTTGATACTAATATTCCAGCACTGAGGTTTTTTTCCTCTTCAGATTAAAGAAAGGGTAGTCTTGCAGTTAAGGAGCTGAACATAAGACACAGTTTCTCAGTTTCCATGCTCTGCAACTTGCTTTCTGTTTGACCTTTGACCAGTCACTTAATTTCCCTGTGATTCAATTTTCTACCTTTAAAAAGGGATGTAATGTTGACCTTTACCCATCCCTTGTGTTTCTCATTTAATTTGCTGACGATCCAGGGAGGAGTGTTACATGCTTTGGAGTCCTACAGCGATGTTTGTCCCATACCGTTAGTGAATGTAGTAATAAAAAAAGAAAAATCGTAAGTCTGCTGATTATTTAAAACATTTTCACATTTACTACAGTCATTTTTTCTTTTAATCTTTAGTTTCTTCACTACTGCTCTGGGAATGTTTGGAACAAGACAGAGACGGGATCAATCTACTGGTAAGGTGCACAAATGAAAATTTAGTTTAACAACAAACAAATTGTTGTTGTCCTTTCAAGAGTTTTAACTGGACTTAGGGAGTTGGGAAACTGGAAGTTTAGGAGCCAGATGCTCCTTCTGCTGTCAACAGATTTTTTTTTTTTTAAACAGGAAACAAAATAAGTTCTTTTTTTCCAGCACTTAGTGCTAGAGTAAACAGATCTGGTTCCTCACAGTAATGTGGGCACAGCATAGTTAGCCCTTTATTGAGCAAAACTCCTATCAACTGTAACTGAATTTGAATTTGAATGAAGTCGTCCAATTTCCCCATCACATAAGCAAATTGAATTTTGCTGTAGCCATCGCATCTCCCATTCCAGCTCCTTGGTGAACATAACACAGCTAGCAAACAACCCTAGCAGATTTGAACAAAACATCCTCAGTCATGTTCTCCATTACAAAAGTGGACCAAGTGGAGGATTCAGAAGTTGGTGCTGGTCTTTTTTCTCTTCGTGCCTTGCATTCCAGATCATGTTAGAAATAAGCACAAAGACATAAGAGGAAGTAAAAGCACGTGAATAAGAACAACTGCACATAGAATTGGAAGGAGGATCACTGCTGAACTCTGCTTGTAACTTCAGTCGGCTTGATAGCTCCTTACAGAAAAACTCACTCTCAGTCTGTGAAGCCAGTTCTTTATTGAATTGTTACTGCTTCCACCAGAATACTGTGGTACTCTACTGAAAATCTACTTTCAGTATATTTACACAAGTAAAATATGAGATGTACTGTATTTCACTGGTCTACCTGTTATCCTACCAAAGAAGTATTTCAGTAAGTCAGTGAGTGGTAAATTCAGTATGTGGTCAGGTTGACCCAAATCCAAGAAAGAAGCACTGCATTTTAAGTCACAGCTGATCTCCAGAACTTCAATCCCTCCAAATTCACTTTTCCACATAAACTTTTCTGGACAATTGTGGTTGAATAATGAGCCTGCAACGGCCCAGGTCACTCTCGACACCTTATGGTTTAAGCAGAAGTTCAGAATTATAGAGAAGTATTTTGTCATCTAGGACCCACATAGCACTGCATACCACTCCAAATACCTCCTTTTTCTCCTTCACTCTCCTCAAGATTCTTCCAGCCACAGGCATTGTGTATTTTTAGTCTTTGACCTCTTTGACACTTCTTTGCAGCGGCATTGGTCATCAGTGGGGATCAGGCACATCCACTCCTATGTGGCACTCTGAAAGGGCACCTAGGCGAAGGTGAAATTTTCAGCCTGTCTTTGTTATAGTCCTATTCAACTCGTACAATACCCCCCTTGATTTGAGAGATGGTTAGATACCTTGGCTACCAGGTACTGATTCTTAAATTGCTTCTTGCAGATTTCTGAAGTGCAGGTTACCAGCATAGGCCCAGCTGTGGGCATACTGGGGTTCTCGGAGTTTGTTTGCACTTCAGATATGGAAATTTTTCTGTTCACATTCCCACTCTCCTTTTTTTCCTTTTCCACTCACGTTCAACAGCATCTTTCTTAGCAGAAACTTTCCCTTTCAACATATTTTATTGTTAATACGCAATGCCGTTCTTCTGCCTTTATTTCTGTCTTTTTCAAACAGTTTATATTCTTCAAAACTTGTGTTTCACCAAGTTTCTGAAATCCCTCTAACATTTGACTTGATATCTTCTACTGATATTTCTAACATGTCCTTTTTTTGCAGGAACAATAGCACCTCCTTTTAAAATGTTAGCATTTTTCATCTAATTTCTCAACAGAAAAAAATGATACACTGTCCCCATTATAGTCTCAAGGCAACCACTTAGAGTACCTCTTTGCTACAGAAGTCTAGGCTCTTACTCCTGTCCTGTCCTCTGTCAATTCCAATTCACACAGAAGACCTTCTCACCTGAGTTTGGTAGTGTATTCAGGTAAGGGTAGGTGGCATGTCTGGGGATATGTGTTAACGACCATGTTTTGTTGTCACTTGTAATCTGTATGTTACACAGTTAGGACACCAGTCTAAGCTATTAGAGAGTTAATTGTCTGCCATTTCTCCTGATGTGTCAAGAGGTGCACTCAAATACTAACCTAGGATGTGTTTCCATTCTCATTTTAATTTGTCAGGAATGCCCTTGTGGAGCAAATCTCCGAATAGCTCCCGCTTACTGCATTTTTGATACTTGTTACAGGGTGTGTCATCTGGGTTCTGTTCAGGAGAAACTAAGCTAGAAGACACCCTGAAATGTGAAGTGGATGCTAGGTCTTCAGCACTGCCAGTTTCTACAGATCTGCTCCTGATGCACCTGTATTATCTGCTAATGTATTCATAGTCACAGTTCATTGGGAAGAACTAGAGAAAACCTGGGCATGTTGCTGCACTATGAGATTTGCTGCTGAAATAGTCTATTATGCCAAGGATTGCAAAAGCTAAGGGGTATGAGAGACTTCATCTTTCCCTTCAGAAGGAAATTTTAAGCAGATGGAAGGACTGAGATATCTTTACTTTTTAAACATGTTTGGAATGACTGAGAGATATGGAAACTGTAAGGGGAAAGTTGGTGCACAAAAGATAGGTAATCTGGTAAAGAACATGTATCTATCCCTGAATCTACAATTTACTACAGAAATGTTTGGTGAACAGAGATTAGAGATTTTCCATGAGTTTTCTTGAAAGTCTGGGCAGTGGAGGCTACGGGGGACCAGCATTTCTTATGCTGACAATGACCTATAGGAAATTTAAGCAAAAGAACTTTACTGACATTCATGGAAGAATAATTCCTGCTACCGGAACAGAGCATATGGAACTTCATGGCTTGTGGTATGTAGGAGCACTTCTTTGCTGAACTTCATTATTTCTTCTTGCCTTAAAATGTCTGAATTTCACAGAGGTCTGCAGGGGTAAC